CACACACACACTCACACACACACACACACACACACACACACACACACACACACACACACACACGGCAGAGATTCAAACACCTGTGCATGTGTGTGTAGATGATCCTGAGCTCCATGCACCGGTATCAGCCGCGGCTGCATGTGATTCTGGTGGACCGGAGCCGCGACAGTCAGCGCTTCGCTCACCGCAACTTCTGCACCTTCAGCTTCCCAGAGACCCGCTTCATCGCAGTCACTGCCTACCAGAACCACCGGGTACCAGACACCAAACATCCATCCACACACATGAGCCCAGGACTACCACGCAGGATTCAATTAGTTATTGAGCTGTTATTAAGCTTAAATGTCTAGGCTAGCAACTTGTAATATGTTTATTTATCCATTTAAATGATATTCAGGGTCCCTGGGTTGGTTTCTCAGTCAGGATGGTCCTGAAATGGACAGTGTTGAGATTTGTGTTTAAATAGTTTATGGCGTCCTGTTATAAGAAACGGTTGCTCATGGTTTGGTAATGACTCAAGAATTCAAGTACGAATCCTTCAGATGTAATAACTAATCCTTTGGAACTGTATTCTAGAGTAAAAGGCATGAGAACTCCCTATAATGACTCCAGCCACTGTAAGCGTTTGAGGTTTTTGTGAGGTTTTGGATAGTAATTCCTTCCTTCTGATGGATTTGGTAATGCTTGAGTCATTATTAGTAAGTAACCATAATATTCCAAATAATTAGTAATTCCTTTAGGACGATGTAGTAACACCTGAGTCATTATCAGTGGGATACCATCATTCTTACAATAGCTATTAATGATAATCTAATATTAACCTAACCATTCATAATGGGAAAAAAAACAACAACAAAAAACATATTGGTAGTGAACATATTTCTATATTTCTGTGAGGCACGTTAAATACATAAATCACTGTATGGCCGATGACTCAAAATGTTCCAGTATCTCAATATCTCTTCAGTGAGAATTGAGGAACTAAGCTGCCTTCTCTTTCTTTAAATACTATGAAAAAATTCACTACAAATAAACATGAAGTTCAGAGTGTTAGCCACAAGAGTAAGATCCGGAAAATCAATCAATCAATCTATCTATCTATCTATCTATCTATCTATCTATCGATCTATCTATCTATCTATCTAATCTGTTAGAACTGTGTAACTGGTTCAGTGAATGAACAGTTATTTATCTGAAGCTGCAGTGAATCTGATGCTCATGTCTGTCCTGTCACAGATCACCCAGCTGAAGATTGCTTGCAACCCCTTCGCCAAAGGCTTTCGTGCAGCTGATTCTGAAAACAGGTGAACAATTATAGTGTAAAACATTACACCAGAGTCTGTAAGTCCTGAGATCAAACCTGACTGTGGCTGTTTCTGGCTGCATGAAGGACCATCACCTTCAGCTCAACCTTGCAAAGACAGAACTGCTCGTGGTCTCAGCCAAACCATCACAACCTCTCTATACAGCTGGGTTCATCAACCATAACTCCTTCCAGGACAGCTAAGCTTCACAGACCGTAGTGCTACAACGGGCCGGTGCTGCAGGTTTGCCTTATACAACATTAGGAAGATTAGACCCTTCCCATCAGAGCAAGCCACACAACTGCTTGTCCAAGCTCTTGTTCTGTCCAGACTGGACTATTGTCTTCCCGCATGTACTATCAAGCCTCTGCAACTGATCCATAATGCTGCAGCAAGAGTGGTCTTCAACGAGCTGAAGAAAACTCCCGTCACACCTCTCTTCATCAGCTTGCACTGGCTGCCAGTAGCTGCTCGCATCAAATTCAAGGTACTGATGCTTGCCTACAAGACAACATCTGGCGCTGCACCAATATACCTAAACTCGCTAGTTCAGACCTAC